TAAGGACTGAGAACGCGTTTTTGAAGAACTTACCACTTCAAAGGAGACTTGGAAGAAGTGAAAAGAAGTAATGGACCTGTAATACTTATGCATCGCCCTGTTGTAGTAAAATGAAAACGGACCGAAGGAAAAAGGTGAAAAGAGGTACGCATGGGATGAGATAAGGGAAGCAAAGACCGTAGCTAAGGATGCTGAAATCCCCAAAGAAGAATGCTGAGTTAATTAGCAGTCAGGATATAAAAAGTCTGACACGGAAATGGAAGATGCCGCATCCAACATCATAAAAGCAAACAATGAGAAAACAGATGAGGTTGGGAAAAGCTTCATGAAGGATGTGTGAAAGCGCTACACTAGTGTGCGGGACCTAGGAACTAACAGGATGATTGCACTTGAAGCGTTCATTTGAGGAATCAAGATTTCTCAGAGCAGCTGACCAAATGAAGTGCTGAAGGCGGTTCTTCACCTTTTCGGGAGAGGGAGATAGCCCTTATGTCATTCCCTGCATTGCGAGAAGTCCATATGTACAATAAGCGTCCAAAAGATTGAAAAACAAGCAAGTAACGCCAGTTGTTTATGCTTCTTGGGGGAGTTAGCGAAGCAAGTCAAAACGCCTACTTCGAAGAAAATCCGCTACACGAGTATAAGGCTTATTTGGATGTAAAGCAAAAATATCTAGCACTAAAGGGGCCCAAGGACGTGAGATAAATCAGACAAAACAGATCAGAAATTAATCTCGCCCGCTTATACTAGGAGCATTGAACTAAGCGGGTAATTATGCTACAGAAATCGCTCAAATTAATGACTCATATTGCAAAGCAGCTCTAGGTGGCACAAAAATGCTGTGAAGGGATATGATAAAGCGGTAGAAGAAGTCATCGGAGTGGAAAGCAAGCATTAAAAAGAAAGTAAGCTTGACGAAAACCTCATAGAGGAGTATCTGAATAATGAAACACGTGAAGGTAAAAACCTAAAGAAGGCCAAAAATACATTAGGAGCATAGATCTCATATTTGCTCATAAGCATGACTGTCATGAAACTTGAAACCTGCTGATAGAGCATTTGAGAGTTTGCGAAAGTTATGAGTCCCAGAAGTATTCAAAATGCAGACCGTCAGATCTGAGCTGTTCATAAGGCGGTTCAATAGGAAACTGACCATGGAACAGCCTGTTAATTAAAATGTAGGAAAAGAAGAAATCAAAGAGTTCTGTGTTATTTTTCATGTGATATTGTTGTTATTGTATATAGAGAAAACAATAGCTAGAATAAGCCAAAAAATTAAATTAAATAAAAACAAAGCATAATTGAACAGATTCAGTAAATGAGTGCTTCGCATTTCTTCAAGAGTTCGATTTTAGCAGTTATTAAAACTGATTTAATGAGCGCAAAAAGAAAAGTTACTTTTACGATAAAATTTAAATTATTTAATTTTTAAACGAAATCTTCCAGCATTATAATTAAGCTAATTTATATTTTTGAATGGAAAAAATAATATAATACTCGTTTGGATTACACTGTTGACTTATTGTGAATTCATCAATTAATGATAAATATTTAAGACAAGCTAATGTGACATAGACTGATAAGTCCAAAGTCATGCACAGTCTCATCTCAAAATAAATATATTATTGACAAAGGAAAGAAAAGTTGAACTGATGAATATTAACGATTGTTATCGCATAAATATTTATCTTCTACGAGCTTATTGTGATAAATGTTCGCTCTCGAGTATTTACCATTTAGCATGCAATGCTTACTTTAGGCTACTACTTAAAAGAGCAGCTCAAAAGATAATATTTGCGTTCAGAAGAGCATAACTGAACAAATACAAACTTTAAAAGTTAAACGAAAGGAAAAAAAAGTGGCTCACACTAAACAAATAAGGACTTGGAATGGAATGAACATTTAATCCCACACAAAAAATACTCTTCTTTGCAGCAATAATTCATAGATAGAGTAGAACTGCATTAATTGCTCACTTAGAATGAATTTATCGCTTATTCCAAGAGTAATGCTCTTCGAAAAGTGTAGTCAGAAGACAAGC